CTGTTATGTCATCCACTGATGAAGGAGTTGAACAACTGCATAATCCGATGAGGTTTAGAATAGCCAGTTACCGTTTCTCAAGTAAACACCACCACATCGATCCTTCAGAATTTTTCACAGAAATTTATCCTAAAGTACTTTCCGTCGCTTCAAAATACCTTTCAAAATGGTGCGCTTTGAAAGTAAATTTCGAATTGTTTGCTGCATATATAATACCTGGCAAAGACATGTTCGATCTCAAATCTTTTAATACTGAAAATCAAATTATAACAATTTCATCTGATTTATCTAAATTATATGAAGAATTAATTAAAATAATAATAAAAAAAATGTCTGAATTCCAAGAGCGTGATTCAGGATGGTCTTTGCAACAAATTATGTTCTTAGAAGTCAACATCAACAAATACAATCCACTAAGAGCTTCTTCATATATTAAACTGCCAAAGGAAATTGAACGTAAAAGAGCTGTTATAAATATTCACAATCAAGACAACAAGTGCTTCGCTTGGGCGGTGAATGCTGCATTATTTCCTGCATCTGTACATCCAGAAAGAATTTCATCCTATCCACATTTTTCTACAGCACTGAATTTTGATGGTTTGGAATTCCCCTTGAAGCTGAAAGATATTCCAGTGTTTGAAAAACTAAATAATGTGTCCGTTAATGTGTTTGGTATTAATAGTTTATTTAAAAATGGTAAGACTGTTTATGAAATTGTAGGACCGTATTATTTCACTAAATCTCGTAGAAACATTCATATAAATTTACTACTGGTAACTGATGATAGCGGAAATAGTCATTATTGTTACATTAAAAATTTAGCTAGGTTAGTGTCTGCACAAAAATCGTGCCACAATGGTAGACCGTACATATGTGATGGCTGCCTACAATTCTTTAGAACTTCTGAACATCTGGAATCACATCAGACTCACGACTGTAATTTTCTTTGTACAAAATTACCAACCACTGATATTAAAGTTAACAAATTCGGTGAGTCGCTTCCGAAAAATTTACTTAAATTTACGAATTTCGAGAAGCAGCTTATTGTTCCTTTTGTAATATATGCTGACTTTGAAAGTATTTTGAAACCGATTCAAAATGCGCAGCCATCTGATGAATCTTCGTTCACAGTAAAGACATATGAACATGATCCGTATTCATTTTGTTTTTACGTAAAATGTAATTTTGATAACTCTTTATCGGAACTGGTATCTTACCGTGGTGTAAATGTAGCCGAAACATTTATACAAAAACTAGAAGAAGTTGCAATTAAATTGTATAACGAATATTTCAAAATTGTTAAACCCATGTTACCACTTTCTGATTCTGAACAAGAAATATTTGATTCAGCCATGTACTGCCATATCTGTAATCGTCCTTTTGATGACCTTCAAGTCAAGGTCAGAGATCACTGCCATCTAACGGGAATTTTCCGTAACGCCGCTCACGTTAATTGTAATTTAAACTACAAGGTACCAAAATTCATTCCGGTAGTACTACATAACTTGAGTAATTACGACTCTCATTTATTTATAAAAAAGTTGGCTTTAAATCAAGAAAAGATTGATGTTATTGCTCAAAATAAAGAAAAATATATTTCATTCTCAAAAAAAATTTAGGATTCTTTTTATTTAATGGATTGCAACATTTATTTACTCGGCCCATTTTAAATCACAAAAATTATTATTAATATAAATAAAAATTATAATAATATAAATTAATTAAGTAACAAAACACAAATTTACACAACCTTAGTTCTTATTTTTAATAATTATTTAACTCACGTATGAACTCATTTAACGAATAAATTGAAATGACAGCTTAAATTCTCTTGTTATTTACGTGGAGACGCGAAAAACAAATGAAAATCGTAACCGAGCGACTTATTTTTTAACTAAAAATGGAGTACTTACTGGTAATTTTAAAAATGATAGCTTACTAAATTACCAAGCAAAAATAAATATAAAATACACGGTCTTGTAAAATTTTTAATTGATTATTAATTTTCGCTGTTCAATGTAATAATAAAAAATGATTTTATTGTATTGTTCATAACATTTTTACAAGGATAAAATTTGTTTAATAATAATGATAACCATAAAAATAATAATAGTAATAATAATAATAAAATTCGTTTGATAATTATATTTTTAATTGTTATTTGTAATTATAATTAACCGAAGCTGCAATGTAGTCTGACGCTTGGACGCGCGGCGTTCTGACAGGGCTTTACGCCTGGCGCGCTGTGATAAATAAATTTATATTGTTTAAACTAATCGCGAGCAGTGAAATTTTCTTCCGGAATCTTAAACTTAGATAAATAACGCATGTGACTGATAAAAAAAACTTAAAATTTTGACCGAGAAATCAATGAAATTTTCATTTGTTAGCTTAAAAGTTAATTAACAATATGATAATAAACAAATAATTTTTAGTTATTAATGTTTTCTTAAAATATATATATTTGACAGTAAATCCTGAAAATTTCATTAATTCATCTTTAACGGTTGATTTAAAATCTAATTTTTAATTAGTGATGGGCCAATCCGAATGAAAAATCGGAAACCTTCCGATTGTAAAAATAATCGGAACGTTCCGATTATTCTGATGCCTATTCCGATTATTGCGTTCGGTCAGTATACCCATAGAGAACTGAAAACTGAATTGTGGAATTGTGGTGAAACATTTACCTTCCGAAGTCTGTGTGCATTGTATCGTCATTTCATAATCGTTTTGTTTAGTTTCATGGAAATCGCAATTATCGGTTTAAAATGTAGACATTAGATGATTAGCATTTTGAATTGCTTACCAATGTATTCCGCATGTGTGTTAAGTAAATTCTGATATGTAGAAAAACAAAGACATGTCATAATTATCTTCCATAATGTGAATCAATAAAAACGTTAATTGCAAATTAAGAACTGAAATAATGTGTACAATAACTTACTAATAAAATTACTGGCTTTCACTCACATAAAAAGTAAACAAAATAAAAATATAAATACGCAAAATAAGCATTATTTTATTTAACAATGAAATAACTTTCTTCTCAAAAATAAACAAAATTAAAATATAAATATGCAAAATAATCAACTTTATTTTATTTAACAAATTAAAACGTCTTTCTTATGAAAAATCAGTGCTATTTTCAANTGATGTTGATTGCCTGGAGAAATTATTGTCAGTTTGCTGACTTTCATTAACACTATTATCGTCATTGTTTGTAGGTTCAACTCTAATTTCACCTTTTTCAGCTTTATACTGAATCGGGTGCTTGTTCAACAAATGTTGCGATAAATTTGTAGTACTAACAAAATACTTTAATGTCTTTTTACACAACCGGCAGGTTGCAGTCTTCTTGTCTGATGACAATTCGAAAAAATTCCAAACAACTGATCTTTTATTCGGAGCCATTATCTAACGAAAATTAAAACAATTACTTATGTTAAAAAACTCACCAAGTAATAAAACTGGATTTAACTTTATACCTGTCTGTAAAATATATATTCTATTCACACAAAATATAGTTCAGTTTAAATAAAATTATTTTAAAAAAACTAATGCCCTCGCTAGTGCCGATCACACAAGGTGTTTGTTGAATAATTAAATTACTAAAACCTAGCTGGCAAGAGATACCAAGATATACGCGCATATTATTTTCTTATATTGCTAAGTAAAAAACAAAAAGGGTGCCGCCCGCCATATACTCGTACTCGTATTAAAAAATTAACATAGAGTAAATACGGAATGTAAAATAATCGGATTGTATTCCGATTGTAAAAAGATTCCGAGTGCTAATATTCCGATTATTTGAATCATCCGATTATGCCCATCACTATTTTTAATTAAAAATACCTAAAATTTTAATTGTAAAAAAAAATTATTGTTAAAATAAAAATTTTTAAAAATCGTTTGGGATATCAATTTTTCATGGTAACTACTTATGAAAAAAATACATGGACTTAATTTTTATGATCAAGTGGAAAATAGGGGGTCCACTTGACGTGATCTTGCTCATATACAAGCAATTTAAAATTTAGCTTTAAAAACTCCAAAAATTGGATGAGCTCACACCAAGTTCTAAAAGGGACAGCCATTTTAATTATAAGAACATCAGTTCGTATTAGTTAAAAATTTTATATAATTTAGGATAGGCAAGACACAATACACGGGCGAGTGGTTAAGGTAGTATAAATTAAAATTCAAATATAGTAAATTTTTAAGAAAAGCCCAGTCCTTGTATTGTACAAACTATAGTAGGATAGAAAAGGTAGAAAAATAAAATATTCTTTATTATTGTTCAACATAAAAATTTAGTTATAAAGAAGCCATTCCTAATCTAGTCAAAAAGTTGAAGTTTGTTTTCATATAACCCAATTAAATAATTTAAAATAAATATTGTATAATAGGTTAAAAACTCTATTTTTTGGCGTGCTGCATTGAACAAGTTTATGTATGAATGATACAGAACCGACTCCTGAGATCTAAAAATAAAACAAACATCTGAGTAACAGCTAGCAAGGGATAAAAAAAATAATATACAAGGTAAAACAAAAGAAAGGTTTGTATTAAACAATTTACAGTTAATCAAAAGAAAACCAAAATAACGCAACACACAATACATTACACAAAATTGACAAAATTAATATTTTCATAACAAATACCTAGAAATTAAAATATATAATAAATTTCTTAACAATATTTTAGGTACATTCAGCTGTGTTAAACATTAAAAAATAACTTCTTGGGGAAAGATAAATAAGATTCGGAATTAAAAGCGAAATAAGATTCGGTATGTATTTTTCTAATTGATCGAAAGGCGACATCTACTGAGATATTAAGGCTCTAAATCTTAATTCACGAAATTACTTTGAAAATATTATACCTAGACGGTAGTATTAAATAAAGTCAAAAAAATATCTAATAATAAGACATTATATTANAGCGTCGACTGCTAAATGTCATTGTATTATTATTATTATTATTTTTTTTTGGAGCGTCGACTGCTAAATGTCATTGGCTCCTTTAGTTTTGGATTTGTAAAACGATTTTGTCATAACTTTTTATATATACCAATGGCCTTCAAAAATTCTAATGTGTTTCTAATTTCAGTATAACTATTTAGATTTTTCTGTAGTTCCGGTGCTATATGTAAAAGCTGTCTCTGCACATCATAACGGGGGCACTCACAGATTATGTTATGAACAGTGACTGTAATATCACAATGGATACATCGCGGAGCAGTTTGCGCTAACAGCAGTGTTGATGAGTAAAGGCAGTATGACCTATTCGCAACCTGTGGACTCTGATCATGTCTTCTCGAGGTAAGTTAAATTGTTTGTATACATTTTTTTTTGAAATTTTATTTTGCAAAGAGGATTTCATGTCAGAACGCTTAATCATTATAATATCGGGGGGATCCTCTGAGGCGGAAGCCCGAGCAGCGTCATCAGCGAGTTCATTTCCAGCAATACCAATATGACTAGGGACCCAAAGAAATGTAACATTGAAAGAGTTTTCCATAAGATTTTTTATTGCCGATTGGATAATTTGCGTCATAGGATGCTTTGTGTACATGCTCGTTATACTTTGTAACACACTCAGCGAATCGCTAACAATTAGGAAAGTTTTGTTAACAGGTCTCATTTGGATATACAATAGAGACTGCCATATCGCATATTGTTCGGCAAAAAATATTGATGACATTTTATGCAAAGTCCATTTGAATACTTGACCAGTTACAGCAAAGGCACAACCTACTCCACTATTTGTTTTGGAACCATCAGTGTAGATAATTTCTACGGGAGATGATTCATCTATAATTCTACGGAAATTTTGAAGGTAAATATCTCGCGGAGTTGATGTTTTGTTGAATATATGTAAGTCCAACCTTACAGAAGCTGCTTTCACATTCCATGGTGGAATTTCGCTAGGACCTTCCACCATCACATTTGGGAGTTCAACAACCCCGATGCTTACTAGGAATTCTTTGAACCGAACCCCCAACGGCCTCGTAATAGTAGGTCTACTAGAAAATGAGTTATCTGGTGAAGATAAAAAGTTGTGATTTGGGTGGTTGGCATTAGATAACACATTGCTTATGTAAGAACTCACTAATCTATGTCGTCTGACTGTTAATGATGGCATACCTGATTCTTCATATAGTTTCTGAATTGGATTTGTGGGAAACGCACCAATGCAGTATCTAATTCCTGCGTGATGGATTATATCTATTTTGCGTAACAAACTTTTGGGAGCAGACGAATAAACGGCACAACCATAATCGAGGCGAGATAGAATGATAGCATTATAAATTCTTATTAAGCATACAGGATCCGCACCCCATTTTGAATGAGCTAATGTTTTAATTATATTTAAGGACTTGCGACATTTATCAACGAGTGAATTAATATGCTCGGACCATGTTAGTGCCTTATCGAAAGTGAGACCTAGAAACTTCACAGAGTTTACACACTTTATGACAATATCACCTGCGAACAGCATTGGGTCATAATGTGGTTTTCTGAGTTGGCAAAAATGAATGCAGTGCATCTTTTCTTTGGCAAACGTGAAGCCTATGTCCTCACCATTCTTAAAGATGGAATTTATTGCTGGTTGTAGTTTTCGAGTGATTTCTCCCACTGTTTTACCCGAAAACATTATCGAAAGATCATCGACATAGAGATATCGTGATATTGAATCATGAATGTTTTCAGCAATTTCGTTTATAGCAAGGGCAAATAGGGAGCAGCTGAGAGTTGATCCCTGGGGGGTTCCATTTTCTAGAGTGTAAATCCCAGAATGAGTAGTTCCGATTCTGACACAAAATTTCCTGTCACTCAGAAAAGATTTTATGAGTAATGGGAGTCTACCACGTAAACCGTATTTATAAATTTTTTGTAAAACACCATATCGCCAGATAGTATCATAAGCTCCCTTGATATCAAAAAAGACAGCGACACAATGCTCTCTTTTCCTGAAGGCATCTTGGATAGAATTCTCCATCGCAGCAAGATGATCCAACGTGGATCTACCTTTTCTAAAGCCAGATTGGTATGGCACTAAAATATTTTCTTTTTCCAGGACCCACATCAACCGATTATTAACCATCTTTTCGAACAGCTTCCCTATACAACTGGTTAAACTAATTGGACGAAAACTCGTAGGGAAAAGAGGATGTTTGTTTGGTTTTAATATGGGAACAACTATAGCCTCTTTCTATTCAGCAGGGTAAGTATTTTCATTCCATATTTTGTTAAATATGTTTAATAATACGATTTTTATTTCAGTGGTTAAATTGTTTAACATATCGTTTACCACGTAGTCCAACCCCGAAGCACATTTTTTTGTCTCGTTTAGAGCAAATTCTAATTCCTCGATGGAAAAGAGAGAGTTGTATGATAGATCTTCGTTTGTATGAAAATTTAATGTTATTTCTTTTTCAGGTTTGGTATTCAGAAAGGAAGGATTATAATTTGCTGAGCTACTTGTTAACTGAAAATATTTAGCAATTGTCACAGATATAACATATGGGTCTGTTGAATTTTCGCCTGTGTCTGTGAGTATACAGAAGGGTACATTCGAACCACATTTGCCACTTATTGCTTTTACTTTCTTCCATACTTCACCAATGTTTGTGTTATACGATATTGTTATAGTATAATTATTCCAACTACTTCTTTTACTTTCTAAAATGATCTTTCTAGATGCGGCTCTTGCTTTTTTAAATATAATAAGATTTTCTACTGTGGGAGATTTCTTGAAGTGATTTAGAGCCGACTTTTTCTTTTTAATTGAGTTCTCAACTTCCGTATTCCACCAAGGTACTATACGCCGAAGAGGTTTTCCAGTGGATTTTGGTATGGCACTTTCTGCGGCAGTGATTATGCTATCTGTAATACTTTTGGCGTCATAATTCGATGGATGCACTAAATTATTTCGGAAATCTTGCCAATTTGCTCTTTCTAAGATCCACTTCTTTGGGGTGGATTTTATCGGCTCCTGGACTTCTGTTTCAATTAGAATAGGGAAATGATCACTATTATGGAGATCTTGTACAACTGACCATTTTAAAGAGCTTGCCACTGCAGTAGATGATAATGAAAGATCAACAGCATCAAAAAAATTTGAAATAGTATTAAAACTAGTGTGCGACCCATCATTTAACAGAACGATATCGGGTCTGTCTAGCCACCTCTCAAGGCTGATTCCTTTAATGTAACTCTTTGTAGATCCCCATAACGGGCTATGGGCATTAAAGTCTCCAGTTATAACGAAAGGTTTGGGAATTTGAGCTATGATTTCATCCAGATCCTTTGTTTGCCAATGTTGATCAGGTAAGTATATATTACAAACAGATAGTTTCTTTGGTAGTAGCATTTGAACTGCAACAGCTTGCAGATTATTTGACGACTGAATTGCAATTTCTCTATATGGTACATTATCCCTCAAGAAAATAGCAACACCCCCACAAGCTCGTTGAGCATTCATTACATCACGTCTAACAATATTGTACCCTCGAAGAGAATACAACTGATCTGGTCTGAAATTAGTTTCCTGAAGACATAGGCACATCGGATCATATTGGAGTAAAAGCACAATATCGCAATATCGTCTGATCACTCCTCTACAATTCCATTGAATTATTTTGGTAGCCATTTTTGTTTAAATGGATCAAATCAAATAGATAATAATAAACAAATTAATAAACTGTCAAACGATTAAACGAATTAAAATAAAATTAAATAAATAAAATGAAATATATGTAAAAAAAAAGAATAAATAAAAAGATAGACAAACAAATAGACAAAAAATATCACAGATAATTATCACTAATCTGAAATCTGTTTTCGAGGCTTGCCTTTTGGCCAGCCTCGCTTCTTCGGTCTAGAACTCGTACCTGCCATTTGAGAGGCAGAAGAAGTATCGTCCCCCGAAGACAGGGATACATGGTCAGGTGATGTTATCTCTCTTTTGCGTTTTTCAGTGCCAGTGATAGATGTTTTTGGCGGTGAATCTTGCTTTATCAAAGGTGAAATTGCAGCTAATAACTTAGGAATTAATTGATCAATAAGAGAATTATAGTCAACATTTGGAGGAGAAATTGTAGCCCTGGCATACGAAACATTCGGAGTCGGAGTGTCGATAACGACTTTTTTTTTGCTTTGTAATATTTTCTTTAACTTTAATTTCCGAAATGGCAGTTTCCTGTTTGTACACTGGACAGTTGCGAGACCTAGCCGAGTGAGATCCATTACAATTTACACAGCTCAAAGGGTCTTCACATGGATTACCAACGTGAAGAGGTTTATTGCATATGCATATTTGTTCTTTATCGCAACGAAGGGAAGTGTGACCAAATTTTTGGCATTTAAAACAGCGTAACGAGGGAGGAATATATAATCTGACTGGCAATGAATAAAAGGCAACTTTGACTCTTTTGGGGAGATTAGAATGATTAAAGGAAAGTATATGATTTGGGGAGTCAATGAGATTTCCATCCCGCTTAACCTTAATCCTTCTGACAGCTAAAACGCCTTGATCTTTAAGGCCTTCAAGAATTTCATTCAATGAGCAGTTAAGGAGGTCTGGACAATATATTATTCCTCGAGATGTGTTTAGATTATTGTGAGGGACAACCTCTACTGGAAAATCTCTTAATTTTTTAACTTTAAGCAGACATCTGGACTGTGCTGCAGAAACCGTCTCTACTAGTAAATCTTCCCTGATCTTACTTATTTTCTTAGAATTGTCAATCAAATGTATAAGTTTTTCTCAATAATGAAGGGATTCACTCTACTGAAGTCTCCTTCAGTTCTTTTCACAATCAGGAACCGGGGTGGAATTCCCGTCTCCCGACTTGTGTTGGTGGGGTTTTTTTGAGGTGGATCCCCATCCATATCCCTTTTTTGAGAGGAGGACGCCTCTATATTTTTATACTCTGTGTCCATGCAGGTCCCACGAGTCGGCTCTGAAATATACTCGACCGTAGCAGAGCAAGCTTACCACGGAAGGGCTACATTACAACCGAAGTTCGCCAGGTGTCCGGAGGCAGCCGTTTGCGACTCTCTCACGCGAAGCCATAAAATCCCGCGGCACGGCCAACACCTTGGATTACGGATTTATTTTCCTGGTTTACTCCAGTAGATCCGCCGTGTTCTGTTTAAACAGGGTCACCTCGTGAAGGTTGTGGCTCTTCACCACGCACGGACGGTCTTGGGATAGCTCCCTCATGGGCTGCCATTTCCACTCAGCTGGTCCCCTGGAGTCAGTGGCGAGCAGCTAGACTCTTTGACCCCTATTATTATTGTTGTTTTTTAGTTGTAGATATGTTTGAATATGTTTGACCATCTTGCGTCCAGCACTCCTCCAATCTGGTCCTCAAATTTTAGAAAACTCGTCGCCACATTTCAACAGGAATATTGGTAATGGTCTCCCGAATGTTATTCTTTAACTGGATTGTATTGGCCGGGAGATTGGTGTAAACAAATACTCTTTAAATATCCCCACAAGGTCCGGTGATCTTGGGGGGAAGGGGATATCACCAAATCTGGAAATAAGCACGCCTAGAAACAATTCACGTAGACTAGTCATTGGTGCTGCTGCTGTATGTGCCATGGCACCATCCTGTTGAAACCAGGTCGAATTTGGGTCATATCCAGGAAAGTTCTGAAGAGCCGGAATAAAAAAAGTGCGAATCATTTCACAATACCGCTGGCCATTCACAGTAACAGAGCGGCCACGGGCATCTTCATAAAAGTAGGGCCCGATTATTCCAGAAGACGATATGGCACACCAGTCACCTTCTTAGAATGCAGTTGTTTCTCGTACTTTTCTTTTGGGTTAGCTGGGGCCCAGGAACGACAATTTTGCTTGTTGACATATCCTTCTAAGTGAAAGTGAGCCTCATCACTGAATAAAATTTTGTCCAATCCACCTTCATCCCAAAACATATTCATCATGGTCTCACAATAATTTTTTCTTAATTCGTAGTCTCCGGGCTTTAGAAACAGCAAAAGTTGAATTTTATACGGATGAAAGTGTAACTCGTCCTTTAAAATCCTTTGCAGACTTGACCCATGAATATTTAGATCCTGAGCACATTTTCGTGCGGATCGCTTAGGGTGGTGTGTCACAGCCCGCCGTATAGTCTCGATGCTCTCGGGTGTTCTAATAGACTTTTGTTGACCCGGGTGCTTGCGGTTTGCCACATAACCCGTTTCTCGAAATCGTTTTACCCATAATTTCACTAAGTTTGAGGATGATGCATCATTTACTCGGCGAATGTTGTAATGATTACAGAAATGTCGCCTAGCCACAACGTAAGAATCGTTCGATTTAAAAAAAGCCTCTACCATAAACGCGCGTTGCTCTCCTGACCACATCTCCATGTTTACTAACAATCCGCACAATGTTGCCAACCTCTAGAACACAAATTTCTTCATGACGATCTTTAAAATTCGTCACATTTCGTCGCCCGCTGCAAATTTGAAATTTACTGCATGCTGTTTATATAAACGGATTATAAAACAGATAATAAATTGTACTAAAAAAACAAAATGCAGTATTTTTATTAACAAATTTGAAATAAAACCGCTATAATCACTTTATTAATAGAAATGAAATATATAAACCGGAAACAAATAATAACAGTTTGAAATAGAACAAAAAATTAAAGCCACTTTTCCTATAGTTGTATTATATAAAAAGGAAGGATATTTAAGCTTAAAACTAATTAAAAATTTCTTTAGTAAAAACTGCACAAAAAAGTAATGTGTAATTAATTTAAATTAAATAACCGGCGTTTCTTTCATTTTATTTTTTTTATCCTCATCAAAATGATAAGGTAGTGGTTTCTCCATCTTCTCTTTTCTTTATCAATAGCTGCATGGTTTTTTAACAAAGGCGCAAAAATGCCAGATACAGAACCAACTGATAATGTTGTTCTGCTTTCACTCAATCCCTCTCTAACAAATTTGTCATTGCAAATGCAATTTCTTGGCATTTTTTATGAAATACAAATATTATAAATGAAAATTAATGTCCACTAATGTACTTCGAAAGAAAAATCGTCACAACAGTAAATTCTTCGTCAATTCGTCAATAGCAATTTTTCCCCTTAAAAAATCATCACTTTGACGAAAAATCGTCACAGTTGGCAACACTGAATCCGCATGTATTAGCTGCGTATTGACATTACTACGCCATCTGTAACTTTTATGGTATTTATAGCGGGATCGTTTGAAAACTGAATTTTACTCTAAGTCACCTTGTATAATGTTGGTTGAGTATCCTATATGGGATCGAGCTGGATTTGAATAGCCTCGTTGATAAACTGCCACGATGACATCCGAGATCTCCTTAGGCTGAACTCGACTGGGATCCTTCCAACGTATAAGTCACTACACTTATTTTTATCGTTCTGCACTTTTATTTATTTTAACTTAGACCAGTTCAAATTTAGGGTTTCACTTT